CACGAAAACTAATCCCCAAGCCGCTAGACGGCGGTTGTAGTTCTCGAAGGTCCTGGCCCACTGTAGGGCTGCATGGTCAGTGACCAAGAATAGTCTTTCACCCTCGATAAACAGTGTAAAGCGAACTAACACTTCCTTGGCCGCCAAAGCCTCGCGTTCCGTGGCCGAATACCTGGTTTCTGGTCCCTTACAGGTGCAGCTCCAGTAAGCTATCACTCTTTCCACATGGACCGTGGATTCCTCGAAGTTAGTTGCCCAACCGATCCTTGGAGGACGATCATCGTGTTCGACACTCAGCTTCTTCACGAGGTGGGGCACCGGGTCCCCTAGGTCGTGTGCTTGCTTCAACTTGTCATAGGTCCTGGTACCTGCCAGGTCCTTGATGAGTATGGGTTGTATCTGTTGGAGGTTCCTGCCAACGCCACGTCAGATGTCCCCTGATGGGGGCCGAAGCTAGTGAGTATTTGAGCAGGGAAAACGCTCGCTTGCAGTCCTCGCTCCAGACCCAAGGCGCACCGTCCTTTAGCATGTCGAACAATGGTCGTGCTATGAGTGAGTACTGGGGTATAAATGCCGAAAAGTATATGGCCATCCCCAAGAACGTGCGTAGTGCTTTCCAGTTGCGGGGTTCTTCTAGTTCGAGTAAGGCGTGGACTCTCTTGCGATGTGTGGATAGTCCGAGTCAAGAGACCTTCTGTCCCAACAACAGGAGACTCTGGTATCCCATGTGACACTTGGGTGGGGAGAGTGTAAGGTTAGCTGATTCTATCGCTCCCAGGACCCTATCCAAATGATCCAGGTGCTGGCGGAAGGAGAGCGAGTAGACCACGATGTCATCTATATACACCAGGGTGAATTGCCATAGAAAGGGGGCCAAGACCTCCTGCATCACTCTCTGGAACACTGGGGGTCCGTTCCTCCAACCGAAAGGCATTCTGGTGAACTGGTATAGCCCTCTGTGAGTACGGAAGGCCGTTTTGTCTCTCGACTCCTGATCGAACTTGAGTTGTGTAAATCCAGACAGGGTGTCGAAGGTGGACATGTACTGGGCCCCTGACAGAGCCTGCAAGATGTCCGTCTGCCTTGGAATAGGGAATTTGTCGGGTATAGTAACTTCGTTGAGCTTGCGCCAGTCTACGCACAACCGGTTCTTCCCTTTTTGGCTGACGATTATGACAGGAGCACCCCAAAGACTTCGAGATGGTTCTATCACTCCCATTTCCAACCAGGAATCTAGTTGCTTATCGATGATCTCCCTCTTTAGTGGTGACGCGTGGTAGGGAGGGAGAGAGATGGGCTTGACATCAGGCTTCAACGATATGTGTACCTTGGCGTTGTAACGACCCAAGTTACCGGTCGTGGCAAAAGCCTTGGCATGGCACCGCACGATCCTTTGTAGCTGCTCCTTTTCGTCGAGGGATAGCTCCGGGTTAATGTCCACAACTTGGGTCAATGTTTCTGGCCATGTCTCTTCCCCTGGTGGCATCTCCGCAGTCTTGGGCCCGACTAGAGGCTCGAAGGCATCCACCTCGACTTCTAGTTGTTTTTGGGTCGACAAGCCAGCGGTCATGGCTTGATATAATGCGCCTTTCCTAGTGAACTCACGCAGTTGGTTCTCAGTCAATTGGTCTGCACGGTCTAGGACCTCTCGTGGTCGCTGCATGGTGGCGACGATTTCACCCTTGGGAACTCTGATCGGATATGGATTTGGGTTGGTCAAAGGCAATCGGACGGTGTCCCGAGTGTCTACCAGCATGACAGGTGGTGGCAAATAACCTCCCGGGCTCCACTGACTGCTCCAACCTTCGACCAAACACGTTCCCGAGCTGCTGTCGTAACTGCCAGCAACTTCGACCTGTCTCACTGTGTACGGTTCTAGGGTCACATCTTCAACTAGCTTCAAGCGCCCAGTTCCTGACTTCGCTGTCTTCTTGACCTTGACTGGTGCATCTGGTAATAGCGTCATTTGATAAATTGATCGATGGTGCAACTGGCTCCTGAGGGGAACCTGATGCTCCGAATCCGCAACCTGCCAATATTCACGTTCGGGCGGGCGCATTGTGTGCAGCTGGTAGGTTGTCTGTACATCCTCGGCTATAAGCAATGGAACCGTCATGCCCTTGAGGACGTAGGCTTCCACATCCCGCAACAGAACGTGCCCCAGCTGTGATGGTAGATAAAGGTCTATGACCATGTAACCCTGACATTTGGCCTTTCCGGTCAGTTGGACCAAATTCAGCTTCATCCCTTGCCGGAGTCTGGATCCTTCGCTTTTAATGCGATCAAATAATTCAGCGGACATCAGCGTGCAGGTGGCTCCAGAATCTGCCAACGCCTCGACCTTGTGGCCGTTGATGGCGTTCACGCAACATCGCACTCTACACGCATCAGATCCCAAGGACTGCTGACCCGGGGGACGACCGAACAACTTGCGTGCCTCATATATTTCACCCACAGTCCTGGTTGCACCGATGAGTTTCTCCTCACGGGGAATTTCACCCCAAGTGCACACAACAAGGTAGGCATCAGGCGTCTCTTCGGGGCTCTCTACATCTAGTACGTCCGCAGGATCTGAGTCGGGCAGGGTACAAAACTCGGTGTAAGCGACTGCAAATTCCGCTTCCTGCCCTTCCACCAAGGTGGTATACGCCCATCGATAGGAATGCTCCAACTTGGAGGGACCACCTCGATCCTTGCGATCACTCTTCGTCCAGTCCGCCTTACGAGGTGGACAATCGTTGTCCCAATGCAGGGCACTCCCACAATGTCTACAGGGTCGAGGCGGCTTCTTACGTGATTTGAAGTCACTCATGGGGTAGGTGTGGCTCTCCGATGCTGCGGCTGCGCTTCGAGCTTCAACCTGATCTGTTCCATGTTTGTTCCTTTCGAGGTTCCACCTGGCGACCTTGTTGGCAATGGCGTCAATGCTGTACTCTTCGGTGGCCACCAGCTCGTCATGTTTGAGTGCGACCATTCGTTGGAGTGCCTCCGCTGTCTCGAGATGGTCGATGTTGATGTGAGCCCACCATCCTCTGGGAACGTCCTCCAATAACCTTTGGACTTCACCCTTCAAGACATCCTGACTTGGTACGTCAGCCAGAGGGTAGAGAGTACGCAGTAATCGCAACTTGCGTGTCACGAAATCGAGCGGTGTCTCTCTCATGTGACCCTCACCTTTACGGTATCGACACGAGTGGAAACGCTCTCGTATTTTGTTGATAAACGCAGGCGTCAAGAAGTAGTGTAATATGTAGCTGTGTAAAGCCTCCCAATTTCGAGTGAAATACAGCTTGTCGGCTGTTGGGACAGTAGTCCACCAGTCCGCTTAAACCTCTCGGGCAGGACTCCCGCCATTTGTTGGGTGAAGGCCGCCGAGTGTCTTGCTAAGTTTCGACAGATACTGCACCAGGTTATATAGCTGTCGATCGAGCCATCGAACTTGGGGAAATCTGATGTAGTGTACTTACGATCGACATAAGGTTGTGTCCGGTTGAATGGGAGGTATGGCCTGATTCCTGGCATTTGGTGAGGAATTACGGCGCCCGGCCCTGGAGGTGGTGGAGGTGGAGGCGCCCCTGCCTGACCTCCTGGCACAGGTGGTGGCGGTGGCGGTGGCAGCGGTGCACCTGCTTGACCTCCTGAAGGAGGTGGCAGATAGTTGTGTGGAGGTGGCCCACCCTGGGCTAGAGGTGGGTCTGGAGGAGCAGGCGGCTGTGGTGGTTTGTCGCCTCGGCGATATTGTGGCCACGGTTGGGGTCCAGATCTAACTGGCTCCATACCAAGGTTTATAGGAGCGAGAGGATCTCGAAACAAGGGGCGAGCGAGACCCGTATTGGGCCCAGGTCTGTTCCTATCGTTCTGATGCCTCTTGTCGGTGGGACCCACTTCGGTCTTTCTGCCCTTGAGGCCTTGAACAAACTCTGCATAGTCCAGGTCTTTCTTGGGATCATGGAGCGTATGTCATATCCGTGCATACCCGACCCCGACCCGACTTCCGGACCTCCACCCTCTTCACCTCCGGAGTCATAACCTACCGCTGCCGTTCCGATACTCACTCTCGGTCCTGGCAACACACCTCCTCCTTACCTCTCCGACCCTATCTCCGTCCGCTCCGATACTCATCTCGGACCGAACACTGCCCCTCTCGCCACCCTCCTACTACTCCGCTCCCCCTTCACAACACCTCCACCCTCCCGTCATCCTCCTACACTTCCCCCGTCCGCTCCGATACTCACCTTCGGACCTGACTACTCTTCTTTCCGCCACTCCTCCTCCCTTACCTTTCCCCTCTCTCCTCCCTCTGTTACTCCTCCGCCACCCTTCTGCCAAGTTACGACCTTCCACCGCTGTTCCGTACTTCGCACTCGGACACCACTCATACCTTACTCCGAGCCTCCGTCATAGTCCTACCTCGGACTTTGACTCCACCTCGGTCTTAGTCCATTGCATTGGTGACCTCATACTACGTAAACACCATTGCCAATATCCCTTGGACTTTCAACCCCACCTCCGTAACCTCTGTAAGCTCCGCAACCCCCGAGCTTCGTGGATTGCCTTCGGCGCTCTCGCCGCTTGTAATGTATTTCTCGCGTTTTTCCCTCATCCCTATTTGGACTACTGCTTCTTTCTATTCTAGCCAGTTAGTCATCATCCCCACTTCCCCTCATCCTCCTGCCCCTCTGGGCCTTGCCCTCCCTACCTCCTTTCAGATGTATCACAGGTCCTGCCTTATGACCTTCGGTACCTCTCCGCTCCTTCTACCCTTTGTTCCCGTTCGGACGTCTTCGTTCCGATTCGGTTACCCTTTGTCCTCCTTGTGCTTTTGCCCCTTCCATTATATATATCGGCGCTTGTACATACTCGTTTTGGTTTAGTCCGAAATCGACCTGAAATGCCCCCAAGAGACTTCCTGCTCACCTACTGTGAAATTAAGGACCAAATGGACAAACAGCAATGGCACAGCGCTCCGCTTGAGTCACTGAGGCCAAGGTCCCTCCACGCTAAGTCTCCGATTCCACTCCGGAGTCGTCTGTTCCCGCCGGTTCTAACAGCGTATAGGATTCACGTGGACAGTCCGTTATTGGTACGGTCCCTTCATCCCTTTGTAACATCGCTGCAGCGACGTTTATGCTGGGCCGGGGAACAGGGAGCTCTATTGGCAGCTGCTGGCGTTGATGTATGAAGGTGACTTCGTCGACTGCTGGTTCGCGCTGACTGTTTAATTCCCAACCCAACGTCTCGCGGGTCGACTCGTGGGTAGGCCTAATCTCTGCAGACCATGCCCTTTCGACCGATTCCGGGTCAGTGAAAGTGGTGTGTGGCACACTGGCCAGCCTGAAACCGCCTAGCCTCGATTCGTCAAACTCTCGTGAAGGGTCAACAGCCCTTTTTATGGAATTGAAGTGCTTCTCGAAGGCGTTGAGCTGTTGGTCAAGGAAGTGCCATACGATATCGAATTCCTTCTGTGATGCCCAGCCCTTCTCAGCCAGCATGAGTGAGAAATCACCACGCGGGTCTATGACGAATTCGCCTGTGGTGAATTTGGTGGCAGCAGCCAGACGTGTGAACACTGAAATCTTCGAGAACATATCAGTCAATCCTAGTCGATCTAGGGGCACAAGTCGGTATCGCAGTGTTGGCTTAGCACCGTCATCAGGGACGAGTTCTCTTTCGAGCCGGGCTGGCATGATTCTCCTCCAATTACGGATTTTGGGCATAGGGGCATCGGGATCGTTGAAAACTCCACCCTCGAACTCTCTGATGGCCTCTATGATGAGTGTGAGATCTCATCGCCTCTGAACGGCTTCAGGCGAGGTTCGCACATCACCCCATGGGAAGATGTCGCTGCGGAGTCGGGTACCTGGTAGGAGAGGGTGTCTTGTGTGGATGACGCCAGGGTATCATGGTTGTGCGTCGATTGAGCTGGCGTCCTTAGTGGCATGGTGCGATCTAGTCGCACTGGGGTTGGGGCACCACTGTTAAAGAAATGGGTTAAGGGCAACCGACTTCTTTCCGTCCTTATAGACGACTTAGAATCGTCCACCTCATGTATGTAGGGCGGTTTAGTCATGTAATTAGAATTGTCCGATGGCCATGGAGCTTTTGACAGAAAGCTGAGACCTCGCGGTGAATGGGAGTCTGTTACGATGGATACTTGGCACTCGTTATGTGAGCGTACCATGCGCAGGTATATAGGATCACAGGTTGAGAGAATGTCCAGAGCAGGACTAGTCAAGGACATAGGGCTAGCGGGTACTTGGCACTCGAGGGAGCGTACCAGTAGCGAGTGAGGTAGCGACTCCTTGAGGGAGCTTCCTGAGAATTGGTTGATGGGTACTTGGCACCCAATTGGGTGTACCGGCAACGAGTGATGTTCCAGCTCCTTGAGGGAGCTACCAGAGGCTGGGTTGATGGATACTTGGTGCCCAGATGGGCATACCGGCAACAAGGTATGAGACCGTTCATCTGGTGGACGGTCTGTATATGTGTCAATGGGTACTTGGCGCTCATAAGAGCGTACCGGTGACGGAGGAGTTAGTCGATCGTAGGTCGAACGACACGTGGTGGGTTCGACGGCTACTTGGCGCTCGCGAGAGCGTACTGGCGACGAAGGGAACGGGCTTGTATCAAACACCCATACGTCTGTAGAATTAACCAGATGCTCACTGAGTTGAGTCACGCGCGAACTCAATGATCCGTGGCTGGAGTCGTCAACCTCGGCAGGGATGACCCATATAGACGGTGACTGAGACATACACAATCTTACACAGACGATACAGTGTTGGCACAAGAAGGTTTACAGTTGTTGCACAGAAGAGGATGGTGTGTTATTCGTTAGGTTTTTGTCTTTCGGCTGTTGCCGTACATAAACGTGATGCTAACTATTGAATAAGAAATGATTGCGAGAAATCTCGCAAAATAGAATAAATATTCCGGCCAGCACCAAAACCCAATAAGGGAAAGCTTAGTGTGGAGCGAACGTATAAGAAAGGGGGGAAGCGGGGAGAAGGTAACAAAGAGAAGGGAGGATATGGAGAAGGAGGGCCCACCGTGGTGGACGTTCGGTCGACACGGTCACGAGAGACTCCATTCCTATAACAACCTTATCCAAAGTTGGAGCACGTATCTGCACAAGGACCCAGCGAAAGGAGCCTTTGTGGTTACCAGGGCATGGTCTAACGCCGTAGATAAGTTAGACCTATCGCGTAACATAGATATAGTGGACGAAGATCAAGTGGAAAAGAGCACAACAAGTTTATGGTTGGGTATAGCCCCGAGAACAGCTGAGGAATTCCATCTGGCCTACTACACAGATGAGGAATTCGGGGACATATACCGCAAAACCCTTAACGGTGGTGTAGCAGGAGGTGCCTACCAAGTGTTGGAGGAAGGGTTGCTACTTTGGGACGACCCGCAAACCAACCGATGCCTATGTGTCCCGAGAAGTCTGAGGACCATGATCCTCAAGGAAATTCATGACACCCCTCATGAGGCCGCTCACACAGGTATAGAAAGGATGCTCAAGCACCTGAAATCTAAGTGTTATTGGAAGGACCTTGGAAAGGATACTCGACAGTATGTGGGAACTTGCGACATCCGCCAGAAGATCAAGCATGACAGAGGCAAAACGCCGGGTCTGCTGAAGCCCTTGCCTGTCCCAGACTTGCCATACCACACAATAACCTTGGATTTTGTGACGGGATTACCCCCTCCTAAAGGAACCACGCAGCAGATGCCATCTTGGTAGTGGTAGACAAGTTCACAAGATATGGGCATTTTATCCCATGCTCCTCCACCACAGATGCGATGGGCGCTGCAGACTTATTGTGGCGCCATGTGATTAAACATGTGGGGTTGCCTGCAGTAATAGTCAGCGACCAGGATCCTCATTTTCTCTTGACGTTCCGGTCATCCTTAGCGCATCACTTTAACACTAAGCTGGCAATGTCTTCAGCTGTGCACCCGCAAATGGACGGACAGACGGAGATAATGAACCAGCAATTGGAAGTCATGTTACGAGCTTATGTCGATAAGGGCAGGGACGACTGGCATGAATTCTTGGACGTTCTGATGTTAGCGTACAATAATAGTCCTCACACTACTATGGGAGAAGCTCCTGCTACGCTATTGATGGGTTTCCGACCCTGTCTGCCCAGCTCATTCCTAGTTCCCAAGGAGTCCCTCAACGTCAAAGCGGAGGAAAGAGTGGACGCATTGAACGTATGCAGAAGATGGGCACGAGAAGCGATCCATCTGGCACAACTGCATCAAGTTAGAGTGCACAACACCAAACACAGGAGAGTAACGTACAAAGTGGGAGACTTAGTACTGATCGATCCTCATAAACTCAACCTCCTGGAAGTAAAGGGTACAGGGAGGAAGCTAATGCAGAGACGCATTGGACCATTTGAGGTGATGGAGGTGATAAACAAGAATGCCTACCAATTAAAACTTCCCGACTCCTACCCTATGCATAATGTGGTGAATGTAGCGCACCTGAGGCCTTATCGTTCACCCGGTGACGTCTCAAGACCATTACTGTCCAACCCCAGGGACGATATAAAAACCTCAGAAGAGTTTGAGGTAGAAGAGGTGGTGGGGCACAGGAAGCGGAAAGGGAAACTCCTGTACAGAGTGAGGTGGAAAGGATATGGGGCACAAGAAGACACCTGGGCAACCGAAAGAGACCTCCAAAACGCCCCTGAGATCCTCGGAAGGTATGGATCGAAGGCAGGCCTGAGCAGACATGAATAAGCGTCCACTTCCCAATCGGGTATTCACACGAAGTCGATTAACGGCACGTGATCAGGGTACACTTCGATCATCTTCCATCTCCATCGTTTTCTTCTTGCGATCCCATCAACGAACCTAACTGACAATGTCTCTCGGACTGGCAAGTATGAGCTGCAGGCCCACCCCATGTAACTCTGTTGTGATCACAGACGAACACAGACAGGACTGCCCAGGTCTCGAGGCAGCCGAAGTATTGTCCGTGCCCTTCAAGAGAGCCCCATCTGACCCTATGTGGTTAAACGGGCAGCTGGGACCTCTCGACCCGACCTTCTCATACGTCGCCTTGCACCAAGTAAGACCCGGTGTTCGATCTCTGGATCGATTGTGGCTCTTGCTACCTGAAAATCACCACCTCAATGAGGCCAAAGTGCTGAGAGAAAATGGGAACCAGAACGTTCCACCTTGATCTCTGACCCCATTGCTGGAATGTTGGGAGTCTTCAAAGGCCGCCGCACTCAAGGCTGAGACCCTCACGAAATTGTGATTGCCTAACGAATTGAGGGAAGTAATATACAAAGTCGAGTCCAAGTCGGGCGGCAAGCACAAGTTAGACAGTCACATCTTTGCCTTCCAGTTCACTTCCTGGCAACACCCCTTCACCATAATATCTCGATATACCTACATACTCCAGATCATTTCCCTCCTTACAGCCTTCGTCAATTACACCCGGATCCATGAACACCTGATGGAAGTAGAAGTCCAAGAGGGATGTAAGGTATCCTGGTTGGAACCCCTGAAAGGAATTTTCTCGAAGAAAGTTTGACTGATGATCGATTGACGGCAAGTTCACCCAAGTTCGCTGTATACCTAGCTTGTCAGCTGCCATGTTGCGTAATCAAGAATGGATTGTTCGAAGAACTGGACCTGAGCGAACATGCTGAGGCTGCTCATAGTGATCGACTCAAGGGACTGAAGTTCCTTGGTTCCTCGACTGGCCCAGATGGGAAGACGCACCCGGACCATTGCCTGGTGCTGAAGACAGGGAGGCCTATGAATTCCGACTCGTGTGGCCTGGCCCTCCCCCATCCAACAAGGACCCGTCCACCCTCAAGTTGGTGGAGAAACGTCATCTAAGCCGGACATTCTACTACCCGGATACTGGACGCTTCATGACTCACGCCGAAGCTCAAGAGGTGGTCATGGATGACGCTGAGCAACAACTGGCACAGCCAGATTCACCAACTCCCTTCGATGAGGGCTCAGACAAGCTGACATCAGGAACATTGGGTTTAAACCTAGGAGATGTTTCCATACCGCCTCCATCTCCCAACTGGCCAGGTGCAGGGAGTTCGGTCTTCCTACCCCCTCCGAATGTGGTGGTGCTGCAGCCAAGCATTCATCCTACCAACACCCCATCCACCCTTTCCGCTGACAACTCTTCCGCCTCATCCTCTCCCTCGGGTTCGTCAAACCAAAACTGCTGGAGGAAATTGCCTCAAGAAGAGAGAAGGCCCCATCTGTATCCCAGCCGAAGAGAGGGATCAGTCTTGGGTCATTCAGGACAGGCTCGTTGGCAAATGGGGAATGAAACCCGTTGAACTCGGATGGACTCATATCGCCCCGAACCTAGTCGATCCGACTACAACAGGGATGCAGATAGAAGGTGGTCTTCTCGACCGATGTCTTGGGATTTGATTGCTCGAAGGGACAGCTGCCCTAACCCAAGAGACTCGAATCCCAATCCTTCCCCATCTAGTATGGTACCGTATAGCACCAGAGGGCCACAGTCAATTCCGCGGATGCCAACTTTCGCGATGCCAGTCAATCCTACATGGGTGGTGGATAGCAACACCAACACCGCCATGCCCACGTTCGTCATCAACCTGGCAGCTCCTCCAACAACTGTTCATCCTCCTTCTATGAGCCGGCCCTACCCCCCACCCGTGCAGTACCTGGGATCGGACCCACATCCATCCTCCTCCTCCAGTGGAGCTCAGTATGACTCCCTCCCTCTGGATTCCTATCACGAGCGTTCGAGAAGCCGGTTGCCCTGGAGAGACGACCCGCAGAGATATGCCCCTTGGGGACCACATCATGGTTGTTAGGAGACTGGGGGGTGATGTTACGGATACGGAGTCTCCAACGACCATATCCATCGCATAGTCAAAGACTTCCCCTCTCTATCACTCCCCCTCTCTCTCCCTTTCGCCCTCTATCCCGATACCCTACCCTCCTTACTCATTCTACCCCTTCCCCCCCCTCATGCAAAGCTTTCCCCATTGGGGTTTTGGTGCTGGCTGAGATTACTTGTGTTTTGCGGGATTTCCTGTGACCCTTCCATTTGTAGATAGTCACATGTCTTGTACGGAAACCGCCAAAGGCAGTTCCCGCTAACTACTACTACTCTCTACAACTGTCTTGTGTGTCATCTCTTGTAACAACCCTTTCTTGTGACTCAACTGAACCTGTGTGACTGTGCAACTCGCAACATGTCTTATAAGTCTGGTTATGTTGAGTCCTCTAGCGGTCCTCACCGTGAGAACTCGAGGTCACAAGTCGAAGACTCTCGACATGTATATCATCCTATGGAACCTGTACCCTATGGGACTTCATCACCCAGCTCTCCCCCCAGTGCTTGACGGACAACATCATATCATGATCTTGGAGATTGTGAATACTCTGAGGCCCACATTCCTGTGATGCCGGTATGCTCACTATGCGAGCGCCAAGTAGCCGTCCATCCATCGTCTGTTCCCTCCCTCGTCAGTCATCATATTCCCTCGCCAACGGTGTGTTCCCTTTGGGAATGCCAAGTCACCAAAGGCCCCACTAGTCAATCCTCATTGCACGCTCATGATATCAACCTGCTACCGGTACGTTCATGCTGCGAATGCCAAGTAACCGATGGCAGTTATACAAAGTTCTCACCCACCTCACGAGTCGCGACCATGCACATGGTACGCTCCATCGAGGAGTGCCAAGTACCTGTGGCTGACCTGTCCATCCTGATGTCTCCGACTA